GAGGCGTTGACGCCCCGACACCAGCGTTGAGCAGACGTGACCACTTATGGTGTGCCTGCAGTGGTTGTGTTTCCCATTTTAACCCACTTCAGCGCCTCGGGTGCGCAGAGCTCAGTGTATAAGCTGTTACGAGGGCATGCAAGGAAAGTGCCAAGGAAGTGGACATCGCGTGTGGAATGCGCTACCACCCTAGTCATTAACTGGCCTGAGCTGGGGCATCAACTGCGAGTCTTGACGCCCAGACTTCACTGTCAAGTAGACGAGGCCATTTATATTGCACCTACTGCGACTCTCTTTCTCACTGCTACACTTTTGCGCAAGTGGAAGTGCGGGCTATGCAGGACAGTGTGTTTGATGAGGACGTGCACATTAAACCGGAACCGGGAGTGGTGGTGAATGTGAGTCGACTTGTTCCTCCACTGCCAATACAGTCGTGCAGAAACCTGCAGAAACTGTTTGCCGTCAAAAAGCACCACGTGCTATTTACCAGAGATGTGATCGAGCTTACCTGCGGCATTCTCTTCGTACTCTTGGCTGCTGACATCCTTACTACACTGTGCACCAAGGGAGCTAAACGTGTACGTTGTTGGCTGTCTTCCTTGCTATCCTAGTGTATGCTAGCATGACGACGGCAGGTGGCTGATCTCTGCGGTATAGTTGCTAACTCATCGTCTTCAGCCTAGCTGAGCATTCATTTAATCCACTCTTGTGTGACGAACACGCCTGTCAGGCGTGTTGAATTTGGTCGATGTCAGCGATGTCGATCCTCGAGGATGTGAGGCTCGACCACTTCTCCCATCCACTTGTGGGTGCATTGTTTTGTGGACACGAGAGGTGGTGATCAAATTCGGCTATCAAGATGGTACGCCTCACCACCGTAACACGTTCCCTATTTGTCGCCTTCTCTGATAGGCACGAATTTTGTATGCACAAAGAAACAAATGAATGCCACTGATTGGCAATTGCAACTTTAACTCATTTACTGCATCACCCGACGGCAGGTGGCAGATAAGCTCATGAGCAGAACCTGTGCGTTGGGGTCTCACATTGGGGTGAACTTGCCCACAGTGAGCGCTTTGTTTTCAGAGTTCCACTCGCAAGGCGCAGGTGGCTGCATGAAATGTTTATATGCCCAGCAATTTACAGATGAGCATTAGGTCCCTTTACAACTGTTTCTCTTCGCCCTGATATAGCCAAAGTATTTCGTTCTGTTTACAGACGAGGACTCCAAGCGGCTTCACGAGCACTTCCGACAGACCGCACAATATTGGCATTGTCATCGTCGCCTTCATGGTGCAAATCACGTGGCCTACGTCCATTTTGGAGTCCGTGGGAAATGCAGATTTGGTAGGGTCTTCTTTTCATATGGAACTCCTTGCCCATTCGAGCGAAACTTGGTAGCACGGATCACGGCTTGCCTTAGTCGCCACCCACTGGTCACTGACTGCGTGTGCAGACGGCGGAAGCCACATGCACCACAATACACCACGTGAACGTGCTCCAATTCCGTGTTATTGCAGCGTATGCGACGCAATGGATAATTAGGTTAAAGCGGGAGGTGCTTGCCCATCCACCTCATCGCTCCGTATTATGACATGGGTTAGTGTAAAGGCGTAACTTCCTGCCACCTACTTCAGTCAGTCGGCAAGGCATGTCAGCAATCGATCTTGTGGTGAAATTCATACAAAAGGGCACTCTTTTCACTCAATCAACAAGTCCGCACAGCCGTTCTTTGTTTCGTGCACCATTGGTGCTGCTTGTCTGATATGTGGATGCAGTGTAGGTGTAACTAAAGTGCCACAGTGAGACGGGATTGGAGGTGTAGGTGTTGGGTTTGTTCTGGAATCCGATCAAAATCAAACTAAGCACTGATGACACCATTCTCTAAGCGCTTCAAAAAACACTGTATCAAGATCTGACTAACCAAACTAGGCGCCTTTAACTTCGCTTTGACATTTGCGGACGAAACGCAGCTAACCAGTGGGAGGGATGATATTTCGCGATCCACAAGCTTTGCCAACTGGCATGCACATTTCACGTCACATGTAAGCTCCACACGCGAGCGATTCCACATTTCACATGTAAACTTGTGCTTCTGCATTTAGTACGGCATTTGTGGAAGCAAATTCGTGCCAGCGAACAGTGGAATAGTGAACACCATCTTTGCGTTGTTGCTCTTGGAATTCCGCACCAAGGCGCCAGGAGCCCAAACCATTGCCCAATTTGTAGGCCGTCGGTTTGGTATAGTCGCCCACAGCCTCACCATCACCATCAGCCTCGTCACGGCTCTCTACACCCTCACCGTCAACGTCATAGGTGAGTCTGTCCACCCACCTGCATTTTGTTGATACCGTGCATCGCTTTACACACGATTGTCAAGGGCGTTCAACCGCTCTCGGTACAATAGTGAGGTAGCAGGTAATGTTGCTGCCAGCACAAAGAAGTGGATAAGAATATGTGTGAAGAAGAGGTGCCCGAATACTTCAGAGACACTGAAGGGCTGTTTGTAGGATTTGAAGTCATTGTAGCAGAAGTTCATGCGAAACATGGACAATTCGGAGCAATAAAGGGTGAGAGTTTTACTGCCCTCCACTCAAGCACAGGCTATAAAGGAGAAAGTAGGGACGGAAGGTGGATTGATTCTTTCTTCTCCTCTATTTGGCAGTCGGTTCAAAAGTTTTGGATGCTGTGACTGAGGGTGTAAGCAAGACGGCCATCGTATCGATAGTCTTCATTCTAGTCGGTGCCATGGTGGTAGTAGCGCGACGCAGAAGCTACAGTCTCACTCTCTACATCTTCAACACCACAATTCTCCTCATTTGCGCATTCCTCATTTTCGTGGTGCTGAATGTGCCCGCCTACCCACCACTCGGTATGTCCTTTTCAAACCTAAAGGACGTTGACCATTTCCTTTAGATTGTTTGCCATGATTGTGCAACACAAATGTGGTTTGATAGACCGGCAGCAGCTATGGGCCAGTAGTTTGGCTGATTTGTGATGCTACAGTACGAGTGGTATAAGTAGTAACTGTTGGAAGCACAGAGGTGGAAGTTAGTTAGATGCAAGGCGCAGGTATGCGCATCGGAACCATGTGCCGATTTTGAGGAGTGCTTCAACTCCCACAATGCAGGCACAGACACACGGACGTTGATGCGTGGAGGACAAGACACACCACCGCCACGGTAAATCCAGTCGAAATGGGCATTACTGCAGCGCTCGTTTAGTCGCATCCGCTTCTGAGGGTGGGGACAAATATTTGCTTTGCTTGGGCATGAACTATAAGCTCAAATCCTACACTTTCCAACTAACACAGATATGTCGGTGAGAGAATTCTGGACATTCTCAGACACACTTGCCAACTGCCAACCACTGGCCAGACATTTTACTCGTCAAAATACCGATCCCCTTGTTTCGTTGCCTTCCTTGCTGATGGTTTACCGGATCAACCACTTTCACGCACAATTGTGAACACAGTTGTGGACAATTGTGATGAATCAAGACCAAAGCAAGGCTTAGTTGTCAACTGTGTCAGGCTGAAGTAAGGCAGAATTCATGGTTCTGACTGATAAACTGTCACCCACCGTGCTGCACTTGAGTGTCTTCAATTAGTCCCGTGTGGTTCGACACCTCAACAACAATTCATTTGCACAACTTCCGCCTTTATTTTAGGCAGCATGGACAGTTTCTACAATTTACTGGTATGCTACAAGTCAGATTGCAAAGTCGAGGCCTTCACAACTGGTGGATTCAATTACAGCATTATTAGTGCAATTCTTATCAATCTGATTCGTAAGTCCACCCCTTGGTCTCCGCCACCCACAAGGGTGAGGCGGCTGTGCCACTGATAGACATTGTTGTCTTTCACAAGAACAATTGGTGCATGTGGTGCACGATCAGGCCCTCTGGGAGACCTCGATCAATTTGCCTCCAAACCACGGCGTCCTTGGCCTTCTCTTGGCCACCATCTTGGCCTCCTGCATCCCCTTTGTGCTTGGCATCGTCTGTGGTTTGGGCTTTCGAGCCCTGGAATCAGCATTTTTCAATGCAGCTCTACTCAACGCGACACACAAGGCCTCCGGTAGGCATTTGTTCCCTTCAACCTGTGTCTTGAGCATTCTGCATCCTCATTTGACAGTAGTGAGGAACCAGAGGCGAAACTATCAGCTTCCCGAGTCTGTCAGCTATCCACACTAGCAAAGGTGACAAGAAGTGAGTCCGTGTATTTAAGGTGGGTGAACTTCAATCCATCTTATGAGTGTGTCATTGTTGGACTGCAACTGAATTTGTCGCTCCTTTGCTCACCGACATCACCATCCGCTCAGTAATATGAGTAAACATTACTGATTGTGGTCATCAGCAGACGAATGAAGTGTTGTCATTTGTGCTTTGACGACGTCCGACTGTCAAAATGCTGCCAACACAAGACTTGCATTCCATTTAACTAGCGCACTGACTAAAGCTCATGACGATCATTCTGATAATATTCTTTCGCAGGTCTTCTGCTATTTGCAACACCGATCCACCTGCTGGAGAAGTGTGGCATTTCGGTCATTTTCATTGTCCTTCTCCTCCTCCTCGTGACTTCTTGCATGTTCAGCATCATCGGTGCCTCATCAATTGTATACCACGATATTCTTGCAACCTACATTCGAGTGAGTCCACTCACGCAAAGCCCACATCCCCTCGCCTCTACCCCTCTTCCCATGGACTCTTCGGTTCATGAGGTCCACAATGTGGTGGACACAGCTAGACTAATGATTAGGAAGTAAACAATGTCTCATTTGCCAGTAGGCTTGATGTTTCGTTGCCATCATTTGCGAACGAAGGATGTCTGCGATTCATACAGCTCTCCCCAATGTTGAAAGGTGCTTCGGTGCTTCCAACCCTCAAGCTCGTAGCTCCATGATCCCGAGCAGTTGCTGAGGCATCACAATGACTGTCATGATATTATGGTAGTGATTGAGGGTGGGTAATCCGCTCTCTTCGGTGTGGACAGTGGCAAGCGGTGCTGACGGCTTTGAGTATTGCCTCAGCAGTGGTGATCGAATTAACGTGCAGCTGTTCACAAGGTCGCACATCCGTCCACGACTCTGTTCACACCCGTGCTAGGCAAAATGTGAGACACAACCGTCTCAAGCGGTTGTTGTCCCACTTACACAGCCTAACCTCTCAAATCGGACTCAGTTAATGTCGTGTTTGCTTGCTATAAGCAAGGCAAGCCCCATCACAAAATTCCTTACCTTCTGACAAGTTTGCGGGACATTCGCTCTCCTCTCACTGAGACGATTAGCAGCAATGGATGCTGTGGGCGAATTCGTCGAAGGTGAAAGCTTTGTTCTCCTCTCTTTATTAGCCCTTCAGGAAGCAGAATGGCAAGACAACGTGTCTATTGTGTGGCAAGCGACGTGGTCACCTTGCACGTCAACGCAACATCTGCCGCTGCCGCAGCATGCTCGAGTGTGCAGCATGTCACACGGATACCTGGTAGGGGCACATTGCGCACTTGATGAATATTGCCTGTCTGATAACGTAGAAGTGGGGCGCCGAACCAGCGTTCGGTTGAGAAGAGCCTGTGCGTGGTGACTCGGGCCAAGCACAACAGCCAACTGTCATGGTGGCAGTAGGCACACGGGGCGATTGCAGTATCTAGGCTGTGAGGTGCGGAGAAAAAGTTCATGCATGCAAAGTGTGCCTTTGTAATAAGTCCATCATGGGAACAAAGCGAAAAGGGAGGTCTCATGGAGCATGCCTGCCATTTATTGCAGCGTTGCCATCCCACTAGCAACCAGCGCGACCTCGTCGACGAGCACGGCGGACACTTGCAGACACGTAGCTTTGTCGATTGCACTAACACGAGTGATGAGGAGATTGAAGGCGTAGCGTGTTGTTAAATCAGGTTGAACAACGCGGAGTTAAAGGTGGCACCGCGATCACTTTCAAATTGCAAATGCTGTGTGACTGCGTGAATGCGTATCACGGTGGGACGAGTGGTTTGACACTTGGAATTGTCGTCATCGGCAAATAGGGTTGGCATGGCAGGAGCTAAACACCACTCCTGTTTCGCTGTTTTGGCAGGATCAAAGAGGAGTGCAGGGACCGACCAACTACGGGCCCCATGTATGGTTGCCAAACACACGGGACATACCGCGAGTACACTGACAAGATGTCGAAGAGCGTGCTTCACATCGCCTTCATTGTGATGGCAGGCATGATACCAATCTTCATTATCTTCTCCGATTTGGCGGTATGTTCTCATGCCCATGTTCTTGGCGACAACGTGGTTCAGGTAGCTGATTCTTCTGGCATCACACCGATGCATCACAGCACATTTGCTTCTCGTTTCGATGCGAAACCTGTACTGACTAACCATCTAATGTGCAATGGATTTTGTTGCAAGGGGACATGTGACCCTGATCGTGCTGACTTCATTTACCTGGAATTAGTGACTCCATCCTCCGATAGTCATGCTCATAGTGCGGGCATACAACACATCTTGTCACAAACTACGTCATGTGGTTGTTTGCGCCTTACTGCAAGACCCCCTACTGATTTGAAACACCTTCCAGAACCTACAACAGAAAGCGCTGCTGTGAGGGTCGGCAAGGATCGCTGCCACACTAAAGTATCTGGATGTTGGGATGTTATGCGTCCCCTTTTTTCCTGCCCCATGACTGCGGTTTCCACAGGTCCTCGAACCTGCATGCAACGATGTGTCGTAAAGTGATAAGCGAAATCGAGTAGACCAGAGTTGAGTGAAAGATGACCGGAGGAAGGTGGATAGGAGGGAATGCGGCGTGTGAGAGCAAAAAATAGAAGGATAGTGCTAGAATGTGCACTCGAAGGTGAACTAGGCTGGAGTGCACAGTGCTGAAGATTGGGCATGGTTTGACGCTGTCAAAATAAAGACGTGGTAGGCCTGTCGCGCCACATTTTTCGACATCCTCCTACTTTAATGTGCATTTTGAGGTAATAACTTGGCCAACGTGTCCACCTGTTGTGCATTTTAGGTGGTGAATTTCCTGTGCTTTCATCTGTGCACACCCTTTGTGGGATGCCTATGTCTCACCATTCTGTGGGCCCGGCTCTCCAAAGCTGCACTCCTCATCGGTTACTTTGCTAGTGCCGCTGTCGCTCTTATTCTCCACTTTGTGCTTGCAAAGGCATCTTCTTTGGGTGTGTTCCAACTCCTTCATGTTCTATTTGTGCCCTCTGCCGGAGGTGCCGCACTCTGCACAACCAGCTCCAGTCCATGACATTTTCAAGCAGTAGTTCAACGTGAAAGGGGTGCCAAGTAATGCGCAAGACTTTGTGCCATTGCCTTTGTAGCACGACAAACGCCCACTGCGTAGATCAAGGGGGATGGCCAAACGCGTCCGCTCGGATTGGCATTCTGGTAGGAGTGCTAAGGGCCCTGAATGCTGGCCATGGGATAACCTCAACTTAGGTACTCAAAGTACACACTTAATGCCCCACCTAAATTACACGGGCTAAAATCCTGATGTCACCAACGATAGGAGGGTGGAAACGATGGACATCGCCCAACTTCTGGTAAACCAGCGTACTAATGCTTGTTTGCAGATATTAAGCACATCCAGCTGATAGGATTGGGAGCCGCATTGTTGGGTGGTTTCCTACTACCTGCACTGATCACTCGTTTCTCCACCACACCTCTCTCACCTGAGGCAGAACTTGGCATGTGGAGCTGCGTGCAGGAGATCGACAACCCTCTCATGCCCTGGTCTGAGGTATTCACTCGGTATGTCAACCACATCAACTACCCACTTGACACCATCCGTGCGTTGGCCATGACACCGTTAGAGAATGCTCGCGATATGCTCCTCTTCTATCAACCACCTCATGCACACATGAGACTGTCAACATTGACGTGATTGTAGACAAACGGATCTGCGTTTCTCCCCGCGTTTAAGTGAGAAGAAGCCCGCCCTTTCGGAAGTGCGCAGAGCTCTGACTCCACTGCGTCGCCTCACGCGAGTCATCGTCGCCTTCAATTTTACCATATTTCTCGGCTTCTGGCAGATACTCGGTCACATACACAAACACAACTTCAACCACTTCTTCTTCTACGTAAGCACCACTTTGTAGTCGGACACCTTTGTCACCCAACGGCAAATGCCGACCATTTCAGCAACGCTTCTTACATCGGACTTGACGACGTCACATCGGTATGATAGTCCATTTCATCCCTCTCAGGCATATATTTTAACTGAAGGTGTCTGCTCCCTCAGCGTCGAGAACATCCACCCACAAGGCGGATGACAGACGTGAAGGAGCACAGGTGACGCGCTCTGTTTTGGGTATTGGGCTTTGGATTCTTGAGTTTACTTAGTTTTGGTCATGAAGACCATTCTATATGCACCAACTTCATGGTTTACTTTCAAAGGTGGGATCCGTCGAGATGTGGACATATTTATCCACCGTCTTCTGTCTCATCTCTCCGGTACTTCCCCTGGTCTCCTCTCAAGGCGCGTATTTGCAGGGCCACCTTCGCCGACTCAGGATGGCAATCAGGTAGTGATGAGCTAATGCTGAGTAAAGCTTCACTTACTTTCATGACACTACTTCGTAGTTACTGTTGCTAACGCAGACACCTTTGCAGTCCGACTTCTATGATCGCCAATGCGCACCATGTTGTGGCGAATGCTGTCTCTCATTTCAAAACCGTCGTGATTTTTGTGCCTGTGACCCAAATGTTCCGCTTCGTCTTGTAGACACTGCCTTCTCGGACTTCGGCAATCATCGAAGTCATTGCTGCGGTGGAAGGGTCGAACCGTGCACCGCTTCTAGAAGGCCAACAGCTCCCCTACCAATGATGATGAGACATCGCGCTATGAATGCCATATAACCTCTTGTGCACTGTCGCAACCCAAAACTAACCAATTTCACATTGCCATTCGTGGTAAAATATGGATGCGAAACAAATGGTGTTGGGGTATGAAACAGCTTGTCGTTTGGTCCGGACATGCAAAGGCATGTTGAAGCCTTCCCCTTTTTCTGTGCAACATCTGCCATTCACTTATGAATCCGACTATCGTGTTGCATGACAAGGGAAGGGTGCTGAAGGCAAGTTCACATCTGCACCTGCGCCAGGGTGCACCTGCAAGACAGGCAGTACATACTGTGACAAAGAATGCGGTAGGAGTTAACGCTGCCCTTTAATGGCCACCGAAAAGCAAACTTCGAAAATGAACACACGTCTAGGTGTTAGGATGCACAGATCGGATTCTCTGCACACACGCAACAACAGCGGTTGAGTTGTTTTGCAAAAGTAGAAAGTGAACATGCGCTATACGTACTGCCCTGACAATTCTTTCACGAGTGTTCCCTTTACAGATGCGGCATCCACCTTCCTTTTCATTGCGTTGAATGTCAGGCCTAGAGGCTGCAAAGAGCAGCCGTTTCCATTAATGGCAAATGTAATGCTGTTTGAAGTGGGAATGGAAGCTTCGTTCGATATGCTCTCTGACACACGAGTCAAGGTGAGGCAAAGTGCAAAATCGGTGCTCTCTAGCGTTGGCGGTAACACAATGCACGCATCACTGCGAAGCGCATTGTTGGGCTCATTTGGTGGTGGTGGTGGTGGTGGTGGTGATGGCGGTGATGGGAGGGTGTGAAGCGCAGAAGAAAGTAGTAGAAGTAGTAGTAGGACGGTGAAAAATTATGCAAACATGTTCGGGGCATTGCAATGAACTAAGGCTGAGTTGTTAGTGCCACCTGCTGTTGGCATTTAATGTACGTCATGTGCAACTGAAACACAGGTTAGAGGGTAATGGCGAAGAGGGTGAACGTGTATGCACGAGTGGCGGTTCGGACTACTGGCGATTCAACGAAGTGCTGATAATCATTGAGGAGAAGCAGGAAGTTGAAGTTGCTTCCTGTCCTCCGATCGCAGACATTGAGATGAGTTTGATATGACATCGTGAAGTTATGTTGGATTATCCCACACAGAGTGCCGGCATTTGTGGTGCAGAGAAGTGAGACTTTTGTGGCTGACGACGTGGTCATAATCTGTGTGACTTCGAACAGCGTAAACATTGCAATAGAGTTTTGGGATGAATTGCCGCAGGTTAGAATGCGGAGACGGAGGTGATGAGGGTTGGTATTGAGAAAGTGTGATATCAGGAGGAAGGTTGGTGGGTATGAAGTTGACCAGGTCTGTGCGACCACTGCGTTGTTCCTCATCACTGTCATTTAAGGTGCGATGGATGGTGAAGTGGTAAGCGTACTTCGCTTCACGAGAAGGAGATGAGAGGTTCAATGCAGCTTAGCTGACGAGTAGGCGAAAGTTCAGACCTAATCACCGACTGACAGATGGGTGAGGCAATGCAACACTGCGATACCACTCCGTTCGCGTCAAAGCTGCCCCAACGTCATCAGTCACATCAAAGCCACCACGATTCCTAACACGCATGTGAAACGTGGAGGTAACGCGACTGGAGGGAACCAAGCTCTGCACGAGTTGATTGCCACCTGCAATGTGCATGAGTCGCTTTTGTCCACCATAGCGTTTCTTCATGCCCGACACCAAAAAAGGGGCGGTCGCCTTAGGGCTCCCTTTCCTTCTCTCGCACGTTGCTTGCCCTGCATTCCACACAGTTGAGCCTTCTCCACTGCATCCTGCACGAAACTGCCTCCACGCTCACACTTTAAATCACCAATTGCCAATAGCTGTGAGGCAAGATCCACCTCCACGGTCTGAGGAGATGGCACTCATGGACGAATTGAAGGCCATCCAATCTTGCCAGCAAACAGCCTTTAAGTTACCTAAAAATCTCTCTTCTCCTCCTCCTCCTACTCCTTTTCCCCTCTCTCCTTCCTGTTGCCATCTCGCTTCCAATTTTGTGACTTGAAAGGCCCACCTCCGTAAATTATGACCAGGGATACGAATTCTGCTTGATGCGTCCAGTGAAAAGGTGAGACATATTGCTGTACGTGGGCGTTCATGAATGGCTTTGTTCTTACATTTATGCGACTCCTAGACATTAGGTAAGCATTTTCGGAGAGAAGCTCTCATTAAGTTGGCCTAGCTTTGCTGCTGGACCGCCAAGTGCTGTGTCCAGTCTTGGTCTGCTGAACCTAATATACACATTCGATGTCGGTTACGAGCACCAAGAGGAAGAGTGAAACGGGAGTGAGTTCACTCTAGGGAAATGGACAAAGACCTCACAGTGAGGACAAACAAACCTTTTGGGCTATTTTCGTCTCCATGGCACCATTACACATCACCATATTATTCGCTACGCCTGCATCACACACCTTTGCGAGGTATGTGTGTGTGTGGGTCAGGCGTGTCTGCACCACACATACTAAAGTGGTTTTTCGAAGAATAAGAGCTCGTTCTCGCCAGGTAGGTGACTGGGCGCGATAGAAATGCGCCCTAAACAGTTTACTAGTATTGCACAAAGGTGCTGTGGAGAATGGGGACACGAAAACATCATTGCTTGATGATACGTCTGGTTCGATCGCGTAAGTTATAACTCCGGCAATGCTATGAGCTGCGTCCGGCACACCCGTATCTGCACTCGGTAGTTGCGTGACTGCCGCTTCAAGGCGGTAATTGTGGACGGCGCAGCGGCATTACTTAATGAAGGCGGATCTGCACACCTTCCTGCACTACGCCTTCCTGACGCGACTTACATACCTCTCACTCTCTACACGCAACAATTTGAGTGCTGAGTTGGTGGCGACGAATGGCCTCCTAGTCGGCGCCTTGCCTATCACTCAGTCTTTCTTCATCCACCATTGCTAATCGCGATGCGTCTATGCACCTGCGCTCAGGCGGATGGCCCCAGTGTGCCGATGGGCAGGCACTCCTCTCACTAAACCCGACCTGTCCTTCTGTGTCAACGTGCATCAAGCGGCTGCTTGCCCCAACCACACTGCACCCATTCCTTCAACAACATCCGAGCAGCAACAATTGAAGTAAGACGAGTGCAAAGGTTTCGTCACAGGAACAGTAGAATAGCTAAAACAACGTTGCAGTGCTGCAACTCCTTTTTATGATCTCAGCAATGTTCAACAGCTAGAACTCTGAGCATTGCAAACGGAGAAGTCGGTTTCTCAGTTACCTTCACTGTCGTGTTAGCATTCGGGTCTTGTGTAGTGCTAATCAAGGCTTGTTGATTTGCTGCATGACTACACCCTCTCAATCGTAAGATGAGCTGCTGTATTGATGCACACCTCCGTCCTCCACCGAGCACAAGGCACGAGGCGGTCTTTGGCGCCGAACACACATCCATCATGGCGGCTCCACATTACCGCAACAGCAACTGATTAGTAAATCCGCTTCGCATAGAGGACAAAACCTTGCGGCAAACCAGTTTTGCAAACGGTGTGACAATTCAGAGGCATTCGTCCAGCCCGAATCAAGTTCTGCTCCCGATTCGAGAGAAATCCCCAATCACTTACCAAATCCCTCCTTCTGGCATGATTGCCTTCCATGCAGGATATCATATGACAAATGGATTCGTCTGATGTCAAATCCATGTGATGTGACAGCACGCTGATCCGATGAGATTCTGGAAAGCTGTACATCAGAGCAACAACTGCAGACAAAGTGAAGACCCACATGACCTAAATAAAGAAACGAACTCGGTGGTGAATCTCGAAATCATAAAAATCTTGTGGTTTCCGTGGTGACAACGACCTGCTCTCCAATGCGTTGGCTTTCGACAGAGGACACCATATCTCAATGTGAAGCCGCAGCGTCTCACATGCTTCTCTGGCAAACGTCCAGCGCCATTGCGCTGCCACGAGTGACATCGATTGCAAGGCTTTAAGCTGGACATGTAAGTCTTCGTTCTTAGAGTCGAATCGTGTTGTAAGCGGCACATTTTGGAAGCAATGAATTCTTTCTACTTGGTCTGTCGACATGACCGAGGAAAGAAAGTCCCACCCATCGCCTCTGCCTATGAGGTTGGCATTGCGACAATACGGAATTTCCTTTCCACCTGACGAATGCACCATATTGCTCGGATTGGAGCAGATAAGCAAAAAAATGCATTGCAGCCTTTGCGGTAACACGAGACACAAAAAAGCTGGTGCTTTAGTCCTTTGTCGTCCCTGCACGATAGTGAGACTCGGTAAAGGGGCCCCCAGTGGAGTGCGGACCATAAGGCCAAGGCAGCAGACATGACGACTCATTAATCACCACCGCCCTAGTGTTTGCTAACAGTGACAGATAAGGGAACCCATCGCGAAGTGGCTCCATTGACTACAATAGTCTGCGGGACCAACGCAAACGCCCGTTTGGATTTGTTAATTTGAATCTGCATTAACCAAATTGCCTTAACAGTTCCTATTCCTTATTCACTTCCACGTCACTGTCATGGTCCCAACCCACAAACCTCATCGCCGCTATCAAACGACCATGTGTTACTCGGATCCCCAATGTCGCCCCTTATATCCACTGTGCGATCGGCTACATGAACAGCATTGAAATTAGGCTCGTACTATTCCGCTCATTGCCTCGCAACTACAACTTTTGCCTATTAGCGCCTTTCTGCTTGGCCACACTTGTCAGGCCTTGCAGTTATCTTGCTCACCCAAAATTATATTCTTTTCCCTCCATTTTGATCAACGTGAATGCCATGTGGTCTACAAATCGGTGGAGCAATGCGTCCTTAATGTGGAATGGGAAGATAACA